TCATGTAATTGAACAAAAACAATGTCTTTATAAAGTATTAATAACACAAGGTTGTTTTTAAAGTGACATCATAGGTATATAGTTGTATTCATAAAGTATGCTCATCAAAACTGCAGCAATGAGAAACATTAACAGCAAATCCAAGTGCAAACAAAGATACTCCTTTGAATTTCATGTTTCATCAAGCATCAAAAACCACCAGCCTTTTAGTTCTTTTCTTATACATTATTCTGTATCCACATTCTCTATGTCTAATTGGATCCCTGGATTTTATTTCATTTTCTGTGTGACATCCCTATAGAGATGTATCATGGGCTGCTTTGAGGGCTGAATGTCCTTCTTGGTGTCTGTTGTTAGTCCTCACCTAGCACAGAGAAACTTCTCATTCTGTGCTTCCAAACAGAGTCCAGCTTGTCGCTGTCCCTCCCACCCCTTTTAAGCAAAGAACATGTGTGGTTCCTGCTTATGCTTCACTCATGTGGGCCTCTTACCCTGATTTTGCTTCATGCCTTTGTGTCTGAATCTAAGCATCGCCCTAAGCAACTGGTGGTTCGTGGCCCATCTGACGGACCTGCTGGATCACTGCAAACTGCTCCAGTCACACAACCTCTAGTAAGTATGTCATGGCCGTGCCAACCCTCTTCTTGCCACCACCCAGGCCCGGGAGGGCAGAGTGAACCAAACGCCTAGAATGGAGATTGGGCTGTTGAAGGGGGCCCTGAGTAGAGCAGGCCAGGAGTCTTGGTCTCATGCTACGTTTTATTCCAGCTTTGGATCCAACATGAGAGAGTTCCTCCTGCTGGAATATGCCTCAGGACTGTTCGCTCATCACAGGTGGGAAGGCCCTAAGAGTGTGGGGTGGCAGCAGGGTGCTCTTCAGCATGTGGCTGCCGGTGGAGATTGGACTGTGTTCTCTCCCATCTGGTTCCCTGAAGGCTACAAGGGTTGGGGGAGGAGCCATCTTGGGTGCCAATTCCCAAGCCCCAGGGCAGTACCTGGGCTTGGCAGGTCCTCATGTCTGTCTTCCTCGGACCTGTGCAGCCTCTGGCAGCTGGGAGTGGATTACTTTGATTACTGCCCTGAGCTGGGCCGAGTTTCCTTGGAGCTGCATATTGAGCGGATCCCTCTGAGCACAGAGCAGAAAGCCCTTAAGGTGCTGCGGGTTTGTGAGCAGCGGCAGATGACTGAACAAGGTGAGCTGGCTCTCCTCCCAGCACACTGTCTGTGCTCACGCCATGCGGGCCAGACTGGGGAGAATCCGGGCAGTGGATGCCAGGAGGTAAACCAAAACACAGGGGAGTTACTGGGGAGGGACAGAGAGCTAGGGATCCACTGAGACTTAGAAGCAGTTGAGCACATTGCCTTTTATGAGGTCCTGACCCATTTCTCATGCTTTCGCCAGAGGGCAGGGCTGGGGCAGCCGTGAGTTTACCTGTCCTAAGTGGGTTGCTGTTGCTTGGTAAGGCTGGCTTGGTTGGGGAAGCTGGACCAGGGGCGGGTCAGGAAGAGCACAGGGAGGAAACGATGATGAAGTTTGCCCTTTTTCTTCTCCCCTCGCTGTTGAGTGATAAAAATCTAAGTTGTTATTCTTCCCAGAGGCATTGCATGCTTATGACCATCTCTGAAAGCATGTGGCATCAAGACTCAAAGGATGATAGGATTTTCAGCACCTGGGCAGATAACAGAGGTGCTCAACTGTGGGGAGCAGTACAAATCTTTTGCCACCCATGAAATGAAAGCCAGTCGTGCCAGGGTGGGTCATACTGCTAACAGAGCCAAGAGACAATTTATAAACCACGAAGTTCCTAGTTCTACTGGTCCAGCTGTATTTGGAGCCTATGGAGAAGCCGTATAAAGCTCGGAGGTGGGAAGGGTGCTCCTATCCCAGCAAAGTTCAGGAATGGAGTGATCTGTAGGGTGAAAATGACACCTTCTCTCTTTTTCCCTGCAAAGTTCGCAGCATTTGTAAGATCTTAGCCATGAAAGCTGTTCGCAACAATCGCCTGGGTTCTGCCCTCTCTTGGAGCATTCGAGCTAAAGATGCCGCCTTTGCCACGCTGGTGTCAGACAGGTGGGCTCAAGTGGTGTGCGCTTCCTGGGTACTGTCTGGGAAGCTGGGAGGCTGAGGAGGTGGGCCTGGGACTGCTGCTCTGATCTCTGGCCTTGGCCTTGCAGATTCCTCAGGGATTACTGTGAGCGAGGCTGTTTTTCTGATTTGGATCTCATTGACAACCTGGGGCCAGCCATGATGCTCAGTGATCGACTGACCTTCCTGGGTGAGTCTTGCCAGGCTCCGTCCCCTGGACCTTCAGCACAAGTGGACAGTTGTGAAGACTGGAGAGACTGTTCTAGACCTCTCCAGTCCAAAAGACATAGAACCCCATGTGCCAGTCTCTACAAAGCATATTTTTGGGTAACATTTTATTTCCCAGTAATCTCAAACTTAGAAGTTGTAGAAGTAGTGTAAGGAATAAGGAACTCCCACACACTTTACCTAGACTCACTGGTTATTTGTATTTTGCCTCATTCATTCTCTCAACCAGGTTTTTTGGGAAAAATCTGAAAGTAAGTTGGAGACATTGTTCTTTCTCCATAAATACCTGAGCGTGTATTTCCTAAGAACAAGAACATTCTCTTATATAACCACAGTTATCAAAATCAGGAGGTTCAGCACTGATACAGTACTCTCATCTGATCCACATCCGTATTCTGATTCCATCAGTTGTCCTTTATTTTGTCCAGGTTTGTGAATTTAGTTTGCAGGTCTTTTTAGTGCCTCTGCCTTTGCTGGTGCTTCCTTAACCTTAGATATTTTAAGGGTCAGTTCAGCTCTCTTGTAGAATGTTCCCACTTTTGGTTGATCTCATGAGCAGATTCAGATTATGAATTTGGGCAGGAATTCCACTGAGGCGATGTGTCCTCCTCAGTGCCGTCTGCCCTCTTACTGGTAGAGTTTGCTTTTGATCACTTGGTTAAAGTGGCTTCCACTAAGTGTCTCCTCTGTGCAGCACCAAGTTTCCCTTTGATTTAACAAGTTGTGGAGAGACTTTGAGATTATTTAAATGTTTTTTCACAAAACTTTGACCCGCTAGTTTCAGTAACTACTCGTGGTTTTCTGACTGCCACCCCCTGTGTTTTAGTTGGCATTCCACTGTATGGATGCCAACAAAGCACCTTTGTCCCCGTTTATCCTTTCATTTACATCAGGAATGGTCTCATGGGGGTTACTTTATTCAGTGTGTTATAATCCATGACGCTTGTTTATTTTGCTGCTTAGATTCTCCCAGGTTTGGCTCTTGGAGCCCCTTGTAAGCATGTGTTTGAATCCTTTTGGTCCCACTGATCTGTGAGCTTGGAGACCGCTCTGGAAGAATTTCTCTGCTCCATGGAATGGCTGGTCTGGGGTCTCTTCTTTTGTTTAGGGCCAGAGGTGACCTAGCGCTCTCTTTCCTCAACAGGAAAGTACCGCGAGTTCCACCGGTTATACGGGGAGAAGCGTTTCGTTGATGCCGCTTCTCTTCTCCTGTCATTGATGACTTCTCAGATTGCCCCACGGTCTTTCTGGATGACGCTTCTAACAGATGCCCTGCCCCTTCTGGAACAGAAACAGGTACAGGTTGAGTCCAGTGATTTTCTTCTCTGCCTGCCATCCTGTCGCTGTTGCAGATGTGTATCTATCCATCATCTCCTAAGTAGGCCTGTGAGTGCACGTGTTCCCCCCACAGCGCCCACTCTGGAAATCCAGTATCTACGTGAGAAAAACTACTTAATTTGAAACGAGGCAGCTATCTGCTGACAATACTCAGCCCAGGGCCCTGACAGGAAGAGCTGAGAGTGAGAACAGGGGTGCTCTGCCCTGCCGGGTTTGCATATACAAAGCACACTCCTCCAAAAGGGATCCAAGAAAGGGTATCTCAACCTGGCCCTGTGCCCAAACCAGGGCACGTTTTGCCTGGGGAGCAGCTAAGTGAAGCAGCATCTCTCTCCTAGGTGATTTTTTCAGCAGAGCAAACATATGAGCTGATGAGGTGTCTGGAGGACTTGACTTCAGGAAAGCCAGTGTGTGGAGAGCCTGATCCCCAGCGACTCCAGGTCAGTTTAGCTTTTCCGGTTTGTTCGTTCCACAATGTAGAAAGGCTGCTCCCCGCCAGCACCAGCTCCTTAAAACTCATGTGCCTCTTAAGTTATCTCTTAACCTGTAACTGTGACACACCAACTTTTTAGGAGAAAATGGGGTGATTCTAGTATTCTGGTCTCACATTCTTTCTTTCCTGATCCGTCACAGTGGTCCTTTGCATGCAGCTCCATCTCTTAAATTAAGAACTTGCTGGACAGTACTACTACATGTTAAATGCCTTTTTTTTAAACCTTTGGATTAGTCTTGGGAGCTGTGAAGAAGGGAAACTTCCTGCTGTACCTCATGCTGGCTCTCTGCTTTTAGGATGACGACATAGAGACCACCAAAGTGGAAATGCTGAGACTTGCTCTTGCACGAAATCTTGCTCGGTCAATTATAAAAGAAGGCTCGCTGGAAGGTTCCTGAAGCCAGCTCCAACATGGTATCTTTGTAAGGCTATGTATATACATTTTTAAAAGAATAAATGTTTTCTTTTGCAAATGTAAGGCAAGTTCTTAAGAGTCCATCTAGGGAGTTTTTAATCTACCTGCACTACAAACCTGAGGTAGCTCTCTTCTCAGAGAAAAAGGCACCCCTAGAAGTTATGAACGGTGAGTAGTGCCCTCTTGCCTCTAATTAGGAACTTCAGCAGGACCGTTCAGTAGTGTACTTGTGCTCCTGGAATCTGGCCTCACCTCAGAATCATCTGGAACACTCACGTTAACTTTCTGGTTGTCTCCTTTAACAAAGAAAAGGAACTTACACTTTTAACAAAAACCTCCGGTAATGAATGCCAGCATATCCAGCTGTCTACATTGGAACCCGTAAGGGGCACCTACCCCCAACATCAGGTGAACGGTGTCTGTACTGGAAGGATTCCAAGTAGGGCGAAAATGGTTTTATTTAACATGCAGCAAAACAAGGGCAGCAGTTGATATATCCAGTACAGTCGTTTGTCACAAAGCAGTGACCTCAGTAGTAATGAGTAACACTCATAAATAATTTTAATGTCTGAAGCTTATTATAAAGGTACATTTCCACATAGTAATTCCACAGACCTTCCCAGGGCTGCAGCGGCTCATCTCTGGAAAGCTCTTGGATTTAGTCCTTAAGTAGTGAAACTGATTCACTTTTGACTGTCCTAGTGAAGCAGTGAAACCTGCTTGCTAACCATGGGAGGGAAAGGTAGATGACTTGATAGGATAAGGATGCCTGGCAAGGATCAGGGAACATGGCTTGTGCCACCTTTGCCTGGAGAGGAGTCTGAGCCCTCCAGCTGAGCCCTTCAGGTGAGCTGTGTGCTCTTTCCCCAGCTGGTGGTTCTCACTTTCCTATCGTCTTGTGAGGCCTAGAGTCCCTGGTCCAGTTGCATCTGCTGGATGGAGCAGCTGGGGCTAAGCACTGTCAAAGCAATAGGGTCTGGTGACTCGATTCAAGCAAGGCCCCTAATCTCACCACCTCCAGACCCAACATCTCGCTGACAATGCTCCTCAGCAGCTGGGGACAGTCGTTTCTGGGTGGCAGGTAAGGACAGAAGTCTAGTGCAATGTGTCTAACCCTAAGGCCTCCTGTTCCCGACCATATGTGACAGCACAGGCCATCTGGTGGGAGGAAGGGGAGGCCAAAGCAGGAGGACACAGGGTGATGGGCATTGTCTTCCCCTTCAGAGACTTGAAGGGCAGGACAGCAGTTTATTTCATGCCAAGCAAGAGGTAGTGAGTAGGATGGTCTGTTCCCACAGCAGGAGGCACGCTTTTCCCAGAAAGTGCTGAGTAGCTTTCAGAGAAGGCAAAACACTGGTTCTCTTCCATTTTCTTTCCTATCCCTAGTTTAGGCTGCCATGAGGCCAAGTTCTGTTTCTAATAGGTTGAGTTCCTTGTCCTACTGAGATGTCCATAGGACACAGCCTGCCACCGCCAGGAAAAGCACACAACTCATCATCCAGTGACCATTCCAGGATGACGCTGCCCACGGAAGGCAGGGGTGGGAGATTTGGCAGCACTCCAACTCCTTACTGTGGGCCTAGGGCCATCAGGACTACTGGGCTTTGCCCACCTCGCTGAAGGTGGAAGCAGGCGCCTGCCAGGGGACGCACGGAGTAGCGATGCAGGGGCTGAGACATCTGGGGGTGTGAGGACACGGTCCTTGAGGGAGGGCCCTGAGTCTCTCTGCAGGGACCTCCCTGTTGTGGCATCAGGGGATGCCAGCACAAGGGGAACAGCCTACTCCAGCCTTGGGTCCATGTGCCCAGGGTGGAGTGCAGATTGGGGGCCACTTCAAGTCACACAGGTAAATAAAAAGAGGTCCTTTTAGGGGCCAAGAGAGATCATCACAGCAGCAGCTTGGCTCCTGGCAGCAATGCCCAGGGCCCCTGTTCCATATCAAACCTCTAAGCACTGCAGTCAGGACATGGAGAATGACTGGACCTGGAGAGCCTCCCATCTTGGGGCAGCCTGCCTGGGCTTCAAAGTGCAGATGACAGTGTCTTCTGGGGTCATAGGTTCCCCCACTGCTCCACAGGAGGGAACTGGTCCACCTCGCCCACCTCTGTGCTCAGCTGCTCCCCCAGCGCGAAGGTCAGCCTGTACCGAAGCCTCGCCTTCTCCTGTAGCAGAGAGGCAGCACGTGAGACGCCCTCCTCTCCAATCCCCTTGGGGCTCTGCTCCTACCACCCCTTCCGTACTCAGCCACTGGACCAGGGCAGAGAAGGGACTCAGGTTAATGGCTGCAGCATCACAACTGGGAGGCAGTCATCCCAAGGCCCTAAATTGGGGACACCTAGAGTGTTAGGCTGCGGTCCCGGTTTGAGCTCACCTTCAGTGGATTGGCCAGCAGCATGACCTGGGTGATGGCTGCAGGTGGCTGGATGGGGCTAAACGGAGAGAGTTCTGTCCCAGACGGTGGCTGTAACTTTACTTTCATTGACTAAAGAGAGAGAGAAGCACCTTTGAAGAGACGGCAGGTGCCCCTGAGACGGAACCAGGTAAGGCCACAGTGAACACATGCTGCCTCCTGGATGCAGTGGTGCAAGAGAAAGGTAATTTCTGCCTCCAGAGGCCCCGGGAAGCTGGGGGTACCTTGGGCACTGCCGCCTGCAGCACGATGCTCTTGATAGGCAAGGGTGCCGTATTCAGCATGGACACTACCACCACCAGCACGTCTGGCCGGCCCGGAGGGCACTCCTTGGCAAAATGGAAGAGGATGCGGAAGCCGTTTTTATCATAGGCCGTCACAGGAAGGGCGCTGCCTGTAAGAAGGTGGCACGTGATTGTCTACGGGGAGAGGGCCGAAGATGCACAGAGCGCTGCAGCCAAGTGGGGAGGGAGAGGGGACCCTGTGGTGATGAGGCTCCCTGAAGGAGTCTGGGGAGGAGCCTCTATCAGAGCTTCCTGAGAATTTGAGGCAGGAACAAGCAAGGCTCAAACAGCAGGAGAGCGGCCCAGCCCACCCCTTCCACCCCCCACACCGCAAGCCCCGCCTCCCCTCTTACCCCAAACCTCCGACACCTACTAGGCTTGATAGACTCCAGGGGCACGTGGACACTGGCCAGGGAGAGCTCGGGCCCCTTCATGGGGCTGCCCTGGGACTGGAAGGCAGGTGGTTGGAAAAGAGGGCTGCCGGGCCCCGTGGAGAAGGGGAGGAGAGGCCTAGCTGAGCTGCTGGTGGGGATCAGAGGGGAGGTGGTGGCCCCAGGGAAGAAGCTGACGGAGGCAGGTTTCACCAGGCCTGAGGTCCTGGGAGGCAGGAAGGAGAACAAGGCAAATCAAAGACCAGGCAGAGCTGCTGGGCCGCCCCTTGTGAAGGCCTCCCAGGCTAGAGCTGGATCCTCTCCCCTTCCCTAGCTTCCAGATTCCAGCCTGGCAGACCAGGCTAAAAGGGAACACCCTCAACCCCTCGACAGCTGCCTCTGGGCCTGCCCACCTCCCGCACACCCGCTATCTCCCACTCATTACGCTTTGGCCTCTTCTAGAAGCTGATCGAGCGCATCCAGCTGGTGCGTGGTGCTGTCGCCCAAACATGAACCATGGTACCCAGGTGCTGCGGGCTCAGCCTTTGGGGCCGAAGCTGGGGCCAGTCCAGTAGGGAACAAAAAGGAGCCTGCTTTGGGGGCAGCAACGCTGGCTGGGACCACAGGAGCCTGGGAGTTGCCTGCGGGGAGTGCGGAGGGCTGGAGGAGAGGCCCATCTGAGGGGCTACAGGTACCAGTCCCAGGTTTGGAGCTGAAGAAGTCCAGGTCCGACTGTTCATTCTATGGGGAATGGAAAGCGTGAATGAGTGGAGCGTGGAGGGCCCTGCAGGCAGCAGAGGGTGTGGGCATGCCTCTTCCTCCGCCCAGGACCCTACTGCAACCGTTCTGGACGAGCAGCCCTCCGAGGACAGGGCAAGGATGTGGTCCCAGCTGCACCCAGGGCACTGACCTAGGAGGTCAGGACAGCCAGCTGGTCGCAGCTAACAGCAGCTGAGAGCTAGTCAGGAAAAGGGGAGGATCCTAGTAAGTCACGTTTGTAGAGCCCTTCAGTGATGGCAACTGTGCCCTTACCTGGAACAGGGGCCACTGGCTGTTTCCAGCTGACTCTTTGGGAGGAACACTGGGGGCTGGGTCAGTGAGGCCTGGGAACAGAGAAGCCTGGTGAGAAGGGCTCTGGGCTCAGGCAGTCCCACCCCACCTGCCTGAGGAAGGGTCACATGACAAAAGTGAGGTCAATGGGTGAAGTAGGGAGGCAGGTGCCCCCAGGCAGCCTCCAGAGGGGAATGGATCCTCTGTAGTCCTTACAATGACAGCCCCAGGGAGAGGGAAGCAGAGCAATACACTAGGCCCACTGTATCCACCCTGCAGTCCACACGAACACTGATGGCCTGAGGGACACTGAAGCCTCCTTCTCACATTTGCTAAAGCACACAGGGTCCCCCTCGGATGTCCTCCTGATCCCATACACCTTTCCTCTTTACTGACACCACCAGAAGCCCTTTACGCCCCCTCCCAGGACGCACCCAAGCAGAGCAGCTCCTCGTCCAGCAGGCAGAGGGCGTTGCTCGCGCTGTTGGGTCCTGGGGGGGCCTCCGCCTGGCTGCAGGAGTGGCTGCGCCCACCTCCCGAGGCCTGGGGGGGTGGAGGGAGGATAGGGATGTCCAAGGAGGTGGGGGCAGGGGCTGAGGAGCTGCTCGGTGCATCCAACTCAGCAAGGTCGATGAGAGTGCCTTGGTTACTGGAGTGGTTGTTTCCTGGATGGATGAACAGGAGACAGGAATAGAGGCCCCTCTAATAGCTGTATAGGAGGCAGAACTCCGTGCACAGCCTCTGGCCTAATCTGAGGGCGCCTGTGCCTGGGGAACGTGAAAAGCAAGTGGAGGCGGTGGGCAGGGAAGACCCTGTGCTGAGCGTATCTCCTGGCCTCTGGGAAGCTGGAGAATCCCCTCGAGGCCTGAGGGATGACACGCTGGTCAACCTGCACCGTGGCCTGTAGGTGGGGACTAGGGCTGGGCTGGAGTGGGGACTAGAACATTTTACCTTCAGAGTTGGGCATGGCTGAGGTAGATACCTCACCATTGATGACCTGCCCTTCAACGATTGTTTTGTAAGAGTTGATGACCCGGGAGAGGTTGTCACTGGCCTGCAGGATGTCCCCTAGAGCACGAAAGAGACTTTTCACTCCTGGCCAGGACAACTTTCCCCACCACACACAGATCCAAATTCCCTGGTCATCCTCATCAACCATTCTTTGCCTTTCACTCACCCAAACTATTGTCATTGTCCTCTGTCTCACTGGCTAGTTTGAATAATGTCCGCCTCTTGTTCTCACACCGATCAAACAGCTCCTGAAGAGACCCAGACATAAATCAGAGCTACCAGGGTTCTGAGAGGTCACCTAATGCAGTGTTCATGCCCAGAAAATCCCAGGGTTCCCCTGGTAGCACGGTCAGTTAACGGCAAAGCTGGGCTCAGACCATGTCTTCCTGCCGCCAGCCTCCACCACAGTGTCACCCAAGATGCCTGCTCAGGCAGAAAAGCCCCCAGGATGTCCCTACCTCCTAGGCTGGCACACGCCTCAGAATTCAAAATATCTAAGTGACTGAGGACTAACGTGAGCGTCAGGGGCGCAGGGTGGGCATTCCTGCCCAGACGTGCCCAAGGCAGAAGGCGAGGCAGGGAGCAGGGGCAAGCCCGAGGGCGGGTCTGCAGAGTCACATGGACACGGGTATACATGCACTCCCCCCACCTCACGGCGAGCCACCCATGGCTCATGCAAAACGGGAGCGCCACCCCTTCTCTACCTGGCTGCTGTGCTGATTAATAGGTCAAGGAACAGCAGGCGTCTCAGAGCAGGGACTCAGCAAAGGCTGGCTCCCTTTCCCAGGGCCCAGCTCTCCAGACGCGGTCTTACCTTCATGAGCTCTTTATCTGCCTCTGAAGAATCCTCTTTGCTATAATGAAGCAGCATCTCACTGAGCAGCTTTACATTGTTATTAACCTCCTCTAAAGTGTGCAGGCGCTTGGTCACCTTCTGGATCCGAGCCTCATCCTGCATCCAAGAGAATCAGGAGAAAGGGCTCAACTGGACTTGTCCCACTAGCCCTAAATCCCGCCAAGCAAGGATCACATCTTCCGAGAGAACACGAGAGCAGAGGCCAGCCCCGTAGAAGCTCTTTTCAATGCCTGGTTCCTGGGAACGACTGGCCTCAGACCCCATCTACAGTTTTCCTTTTAAAACACCAGCCCTTGCTACCCCCAGGTTTGGCCCCATCTACTCTTGCTCCTCTAGCCCATTCTCCCCTAGAAGCCCCTCGCTCCTCCTTCCAGGTAAGGGCTGGGGACAGGGACAAACAAGAGCTAACCCCAGGGGGAGGGACCTCTGCTCTGTGGTCACAGGCTCCTCCCCCGCAGGGCCACTCACTTCCTTCACCATGGACTTGATGAGCTTGTTGGCCTCCTGCAGGTCATCTGGGTTTTTGCTTTTCAACAACTTGGCTAAAAGCTGGAAGAGGAAGGTATCAAAGGTGAAGGGACAGGCAGCACCCCACCTGGGGAGACCACAGGAACCGAGCTCCCCACAGCACTGAGCAGACCCCCACCTCATCTGCGGACACCGCAGGCTGGGATGCACTTTACCTTGGATTTCTCCTCATCATCAAAAACAGGGTTTTTGGGACGAGGTGGTGGAGAGGGGATCAGCGTCCTGTCCACAGGGATCAGGGGGTCAGACTGCACTATGCCTGAAAGGGGACACAGGGCAGTGTTCGCTCAGGCTGGGCCACCCTGCTGCCTGCCCTTCCCCACACAGCAAGGAGGCACTCCTCCCTGTAACCAGGCTGGCAGGCCGCATGCACCTCGGCCCCTCAAACCCCAGCCCAGGCCCTCCTGCTTCTTCAGGAGGAAGGGACACAGTATGGGGTGACAGACACCACCTCGTTCTTCCTGGCCTGGGTCATCCTTCGGGGCTGCTGTAAGGCTGAGGGAAGGCAGGCACATACCCTGTCTCTTCAACATGTGGTAGGCATCCTTGATCTTTGATTCTTCCGGCAGGGCCAACGTCCAGCTATAAAGCAACTCGATGACCTTGGTCTTCACTTTCTCAGACACCCTGTCCCCTAGGTACTAAGAGGCAAAGAACATGGGAAAACCTAGCAAGTGCAGGCTCGAGGCAGAAACAGAGGGCTCTCTTCATAGCAATGAAACGGTCACTAACTGGTTACAGTCCTCAAGCCTCCTCCAAGCCCGCAGGTGTAGGGGTGCGGCAGCCCCAGAGGGGAGGAGGGAACTACCCGCACGCAGCAGCCATATAGGTCTGCGGGACAGACTACTACCCGCACGCAGCAGCCATATAGGTCTGCGGGACAGACTGTGGTTAGGCGGGGGGGGGGGGGGCGGAGCGCGTCACTGCGTTTCCATGCTCAATCTACCAGAAACACAATCGCACTTTATCTCCAAGGAGTTAGAGAAAGTCTTTAGCATGAAAAATTGTTCCCTCTGCCATAAATGGGTGCCCAGAGCTTAACTAACACTAGCGTGCAAGGGAAGCCGAGTGGTGAGGGGGGCCAGCTGCTTGCATCCACGTGAGCCAGGCTGAGGAAGAGGGACTGCTGTCACTAGGGGCCCAGAGGCTGGCGCTGTACAGCCCCCCTGCGCCCCTACACAGCTGCTGCTGCACTTAGGCTGGGAGCCCTGTACAGGCATCCTGTTCCCTCGGGGCCTAGCTCTCTGAGGCAGGACCTAGGGAATCTCAGATCAGTGGAGATGCTGGTTTGTGCAGCGCAAGCCAGCAGGATAGGAGAGGGGGAGGAACACAAAAGAGGTTCCTAGAAATGAGGAAACTGCCACCAACTGACCTTTGGAGAGACGACTTTGATCAACTCATTCAAAAACCGGAACTTTCCCACTTCGTTATGAAATCTCCTCCCACAGTTCTTCATGCAGGCCTCCAGCACCTGGTCCACACAAAGGAGAGACACTCAGTGAGGGGGTCCGGGTAGGAGCTGGCACTCGGCCAGACCCTGCACAAAAGTAGCGCTGAACAAATAATCACCCAAGGAAGGAACTAACCGGGAAAAGTCGTGTACGCTGCCCCAGGGACATCAGGGCCACAGGATTACAGACTTAAGTGTCCCTCAAATTGCAAACCTCTCCCGGGGAAGCTCAACAAGAACTAAAACCCTGAGACCCAGATACCAGGACAGATCAAATGTCTGTCCTGGAAGGCGCCTGCCTGCAAGATTCTGGCCTCGTGTCGTACCAATGAGGCAACAGGCCCGGAGGTAACATTTCTCCGACTCAGGGTCCAGGGTTCTTTCCACAAGCTGATCAATGTTTTGGGGAGGTGGCAGAGAATGTTTAAATTATTTTCTTCATTTTAGATGACATGCTATTTTCCCTCCCCTGCTCCCATCTAGTTTCCTCCTGGGGCCCACAAAACTGCCTGAAGTTTTCTTGTGCTGCCCGTGGCCCTGCAGCTTATGCCCAGGAGCACAGCACCCAGTGCTGCCCCGTCTTTGTAAAGGCTCCCATCTTTGTAAAGCAGGGTTTCCAGCTGCACCACTACTGCCATTTGGGGCAGTCATTTGCTGTGAAAGCCTGCCCTGAATGTTACACGGTGTTCAGCAGCATCCCCAGCCTCTACCCTCCAGATACCAGTATCAGCCCCTGACATGGGACACCAAGTGTCTCTAGACATTGCCCAATGTCCCCTGAGGGACAAAACCTCCCCTGGTGGAGAACCACGGGTTTAAAGCCTTCAGCAGAAGCATGCATGAGGGTTGCTTAAGCGCCTTTTCCACGACCATGTCCCCTCTCCTGTCTCCCCAGGAGCTGAATAAGTCAGGAGAGAACCCTGGAATCCTGGTTTAGGGGAGAGGCTGGAGGTGCCCAAGGGCCACACACAGCCACACATCTTGAATCCTCTTAGTCTGAATAAACGCTAGGATCTGCCCACTGGTGTGATGCCTTCACTAGTAACTGGTATTATTTTTACCTACAGAATGAATTATACTTGGCCAACTCTTACTGAGCAAGACAGCTCTGACAGCATCTCTTCGAGAAGCCTTCCCTGAGCGCCACCCTAGGCCCAGGGCCCCTGCCTCTGGCTCCCCACCCTGACTTGGCCACTCTGCTTCTCCCACTAGACCTTGTGCTCACACCAGCAGTGAGCTTCTCACACACTGAGAAGCTCAGTGCCTGGCACTGAACCCCGTTGGAGATGCCAGCGGGTGCATGAGCAAAGGCCTGGGCTCATGAAGAGCCACTGTCGGCATGAAAAACCTACCGTCAGGGCCTGGACCGCCTCCCATTCCTGCGGAGACTGGATCTTATGGGCCAGCAGTCGGACGGCGATCTGTGGCCTGGGAGACAAGCAGACCACACTTTCAGGACCCTGACCCTCTGCCATTTGGCTAGCCCTCCGTGGCCACAGCTTTTGACCTTTCCAGTCAGCCATCCCTCACCTGCCCCCTAACAGCTTTGACTCACCCTTCAAGCTCTTTGTTGATCTGATCACAAAAGCCAATTATGTATTCCCAGTCCTCCTGGCGGTTGGAAGGATTGGTGGCTTTATCTTGGGACAGAACAAAAAGGAGGACAACTATTGTAAAGAGCAAGGACACAATGGAAGGTTTCCTCAGTTTTTAGGTTTTGATGTAAAGAGAAGTTTGTTTAGAAATTTCTCCTCCAATAGCGACACCTCAATAGTTCAAACACTGTTTTCTGTCTAGTATTTTGAAAGACACAGATGAAAGAGAAAACAAATCCTACGTTCTCATTTTAAGGTAAGCTAATAGCATGTATTGAGCCCCTCTAGGCATCAATCACTGTGCTATCTGTCCCTGGGATTGCAGAAACAGACTGCACCTCAGTGATCAGCACCTCCAAGTTTAAACGGTCTTCCACGATCAAGGACAAGTGCTCAGGGTTCTCAGAGGGTAACTGAGGGTTTAAATTCCAGGAGCTAAATGCCTCGTCTCCTAATACTTGGTGTGGGTCCTCTTTTCCCTGTTATTCCCAGAACGCGTGCTTACAGAGGACGGCACCAGCTGAGGGTGGTTAAATGTGTTCTCATCTCTGATTCAGATCTTGCAGAGTCTGCCTCTTCCAAAAAGCACTCTCAAGCTGTTTGCTAAATTTAGGGCTTCAGGTTCTGAAGACAAACGGAAGACTGAAGGCGTTTATCCTTTTTTAAGCACCATGCTCCTCCTGCAGATTTCCACGAGGGCCAAAAGCGTAGTGAGTGACAGAGCCTTGAAAAAGCCCTTCCCTTAAAAAAAAAAAAAGAAAAAGAAAAGAAAAAGCCCTTCCCTTGCAGATACTAACTAACATATATAAAATAGATAAACAAGTTCACACTGTATAGCACAGGGAACTATATTCAATATCTTGTAGTAAATTATGGTGAAAGAGAATATGAAAACATGTATGTTCATGTATGACTAAAGCATTATACTGTACACCAGAAGTTGACACATTGTAAACTGACTATACTTCAACAGAAATATATATACAAAAGATAAAAGCCCTTCCCAGCAAGAGGTGTTGTTACAAGTTCCTGAATTCTGATTTCTCATGACTGTGTCTTCTTAACTTCCTTTTCCCCTAACATTAAGAATCACTAGCTCCACAACCAAATCCTAACAGGGACTCCTCGCCACGCCCCCGCTCCCTCCCCACCCCAGGAGCCACAAGAGGTCAGCAGACGCCACCCTGAGGCAGAGGAAAGGCCTGCAGCGCCCAGCGCGCTCTCTGGCAGCGTTTCTGCTCTGGTTGCCAAGAAAATTCTGATGGTTTAGGATCACATTTAGAGAAAAAGAGAGATGTCAGTCCTCAGTCTTGAAAAAAGAACCAGCAGGCCCTATAAAATGCCATGCTTGAAGGGAAGGGAGATTAATTCTATCAAGAGTGGCTATTTTTTGCCACAGTGACCTACTAGCTGTTGCCTTCCAGAGAAGCCCTGCGTCTCTCCCACCAGGTGTCTGAAATCTTCTCAGGTGTTAACACGGCTTTGTTACTAATCTCTATCATTTGAGATGCTTAAAGCTCTCATATGACATCAAGAGGCTGTCGGATACAAAAATAAGATGGTCTGAGGAGCCATACCCACCTGTCACTATTATCATTTTGGAAACAGTCACGTACTTTGTGGTAGAAAAAAAGTAGCCCACTCACTTCCCGCTGTTTGCAACTAGAAAAGCATCTTATAGTGTACGATGTGGGCAGCCCTCCCCCAACACGTACACAAGCATCAGGCATTCATCAATGTACCCCGCCTAGGTGGCCATAATTCCTGTAGCGTTTCTGCTTCCAAGAATACCCCTACCTCTTTTCCATTTATGGACAACATCTCTAGAATCCCACTTGCTTTCCCCTTTATAGACCTTTTTACTGCAAACCTGTAGGGAGTTCTCTATCTACACATGAGCACAAAAAGCCCTGGTTTTGGCCCTGTTGGTCCCACTTCTGAGTATCTCCTCCAACCCTCCAGCCAGTTCAGACAGCAGACCTCAGTCACCTACAGGAACTGGAAGAACCTCTGGGGATAATTCTGGGTGACTCAATCTCTCCATCTGCCCACTGCCTCCCCGAGCAGATGCACACAACCGTCACCCACTCATCATTCTCCTTCACCTGGCAGAGAAGTGACACCAGAGCCTCCCCTGCAGATTCTGCCTTCTAGAACCGCCCCTCTGGGCTCTACTTGGACTCAAGGTTCCTATTTTTGGGTCTCTGTTGAAAGCCTTGCTCTACTGTGTCTTTGCCTCTAGATTTTCTGCTCTCATTTTCAAGTTACTTCCATCACTAGCCTTGGCTGTCGTGGGACCTCTGGTCAAGTAGGGATGGAAACAGCAGCATTAGCCACCCCACCTCATCCCAACTCAGCTCAGACAGTCCAGAGACAGTAAGTTCTACCTGCTAATGACTTAGAAATAAGCAGAGGCAAGGACATGGATGGAAAGGGAGTCAAGACTCAACCTTTAATGCTAGGGTCTTAACTCAAGGGAGACTTAGTCACCAAGTCTTTGTTAAGCACCCACAGAAAACTGAGTACACAGCACACTAGGCCCTGGAGGGACTGCAGAAAAAGTACAGGACTTGGATCCTACCCTTGAGGAGGTTATGCTCCTCCGATGCAATACATGAGAAATAACCAGAGCAAAAAAACAAGACAGAATGTGATTATAAGAGCTAAATTGGTGCAGAAACGAGACTGAAAACAAATTCATCACTTCTCCTTCCTGACTTCCCTATTTCTATAAATGGTGCCACCATTCAAAAGTTCCTTTTGCCCCCACCCCCAGGCACCCAGGTCTGAAACCTCACCACTGACTCCTTCCCTCTCCTCACTCATTTCTATCAGCCAGTCCTAATCCTTTCTTCTCAACGTCTTTTTAAAACTCACTTCCTTTTTTATTTCTGGCCCTACCCCTACCTCCTTACTTCTCACCTGCTTCCAGAACTTCTGCTCCAATCCATCCTAGGTAAAACCCCTATATCAACCTTCCTAAAACACTTGATTTTTATAGTAGGTACAGTAGGAACAGGGACCTCATAACTATAGAACTTAAGTTTCCTGGGCTGGAATTCAAGCTGTTCTAGAATTTGGTTCGACTTCCCAGCATTCTCTCCCACCTCACTCCTACAGGGACTCCTTGCTCGAACCACCCAAACACCTGCTACTGTTTGTGCCCCAGACATGATTTGCTCCCTCCACATCACTGTCTGGGGTTTTCCTGGCCAACTTTCCCCATTCTTTAGGGCCTAGTTTGAATGGCATCTCCGTACGGGGAGCACTGTCTTCCATCCACTTATCCTCAATTTCCTAAAGAAACTGTCAGCATCTGTGGCTCTTGCCTTGTATCTTTATCTTTTTTATTTAATAATGCTTGACCCACTACAGCAGCACCTTCATCAAACTGAAGGCAAAGATTGTCTGAACTTCTTCATCTTTGTAACACCTCACGTAGCAGGTATCCAGTAAACACTGATTGACTGTGGTAATGACAGGCTTTAGAGAAAGCTGAAGTCATCAAGAGATGGCTCGTGGGGAAGGAGATTCTGGGATGGGTTTTAAAGTATTTAGTGGAGCAAGGGGACCGGGCCTTTCAGATAAGGAGAGGAACGTGCTGATGGGACAAGAATATCCAACTGACCAAAGCAAGAAAGAACACCAGGAAGCCACAAAGAGGCAGCAGTAGGGCCGCAGCAGCGGAATGACTTGACTAAACAGATGTGCTCCTCTGGGAGCAGAATGGACTGAGAGGGGCAAGGGAGAGTTTAGACATGGGGCCCAGCAGCAGCAGCTTTTGTAATTCTGGCAAACCATGGAGTGACAAGGACCTAGACTAAGATGGCACTCAACTCCAAGCACTGGTTTATTCAACTGGTACAGTTCACACCATTAAGGCATTAGAACTGTGAAGGTGGACAAAGGACAAGGATGGAAGGAACCTTGACACTGCTTCAAATGCCACTCTAAGTAATGGAAAAGGGTCAAAGGCCAGTCTCAGCTCTAGTCTCTACAGATACAATCCCTCCCCCAGCCCCCATCTCCACTCTCCCTCAAAAACAGGTCTGCTGTTTCAAAATACAAGTCTAAACCTAGCCTATGAAACTCAGCTTAAGTCACTTAAATTACTCCAATGTCCCCATTAATATCTGTGAATGGAACCAATTCCAGTGTGCTTATACCCGGTTGGGTGGCTCTGGGCAAATGGATTGGTTAGTGAGGCTGTCTTCTTGTGAAATTGTGACAATAGTACCTGCCTTCCTGGAATACTAAATACATGAAATTAAATGAATGTCTCTGGAGTACTCTGAGCTCCTTGGAGAACAGTTTCATATATACAGAAGGCTTTGGGACTTGTCTGCAAATGCAGATTTTGCAAATTTAACTAAGGTTCAACTACCCGTGAACAGGATTTCTTATTAAGAAAAGGTAGCTGGGGGAAAACAGCCACCAACTCCAAGAGCCTGGTGGGCTCTAGTAAGTAAGAGACCTCTACACAAGGCAGTATCTAGCCATCGTCCCTTTCTTATTACTCGGTCCAATTTGTCTTCACTTAAAGAGGCCTCCAGGGGCCTCCACTAGCCCATAAAAAAGTCAACGTATTAACCCTTCGGCCGAATACTACCTTCTATGTTAACCTGTATTTCCTTAAGAGTAATACGAATTAGCAATTACAGCAGCAGGCCGCTACAACTACAGCATCAGACTGTCCCTCAGCTATGCTCAGAGAGGTTACCAACAAATGACTCGTTAAGATGTTTGGGGCGTCGGGGGTGGGGAGAGGTTCCCCAACACAGCTTTCCCCCTGCTTTGGTCACTGTAAGAAAAAAAATAAGACCTCTGTTCTCTCTCTTACTTCGGATATTTCAAACTTAAAACATTAAGCCTGAGCGGAGCGGTCACTTCTCGAACACACGGTCACAATTCTGAAGCTATGTGTGTATGCTCAGTGACACCCACCGCTCCCGGAGTTTCAGCCCAAATTCGGAGCTTTTTCTTTCGTTAGGGAGTCACAGCCGCGCGCCGCCCCACCACTATCTCCCCAAAGAGCGGATGCATGCCAGTCCAAAGTACTTGGCTGTCGCCTTCCTGGAGCCTGCGGGACCCGGACAGGGCCCGAGCCCACGCCGCTGCGCGCGGGAGAGGGAGAAGGCGCCGCAGCAAGGGAGCCGGGGCCGGGCGGGGGCCAGGGCGCCCTGCTAGGGAAGGGGCGTGATAGCCGGGCGCTCGGCGCGCGGGCTAGGCCAGGCGCAGGCTGCCAGGCGGCGCCACCGCGGGGCTCGGGGAGGGGGCCGAGGGGTGCGGAGAGGGGCGGCTCGGTGGCGCGAGGGCAGGCAGAAGCGGCCGCGGCTACTCACTCAACCAAGACTCCAAGCTCTCCCCTTCCGCCTCCGCCATATTGCAGCCGCCCGGGCCGGCCCCGCGTCCTCCAACCTCGCGAGAACCTGCAAGAGACCAGCCGGGGCGGGGCCTGCATAGGGGCCTGAGAGGACCGAGGGCCACCACGGAACGTCGCGCCAAGCTGCGGCGAAAATGGGAGAGCGAATGTTTCCCTTTGACTCTTCGCCTTAGACCCCGGAGTGAGATACTCTTAAGGCCCGGATTAATAGGGTGATGCACAGAGTTAAGAGCCTGTGAAGCCTTTTCATCGTCTCCCGTCACTCGCTCAGGCACGCCGAGGGCAGTCTTTATCGGGTCCTCGTGACCAGCCAAGATGGCTGCCCCCGCGGTGAAGGCTGCGCGAGGGTGTTCGGGCCTCGCGTTGGGCGTGCGGGGTCCTGTCCTGCGGCTCCCAGGGTGAGACGGCGGCAGGCAACTGGGAGGCCGCTTGGGTCTCCACAGAGAAACCTGCTGGGAAGGAAGGGTGGGCATAGGCAGGCCGTGCGGAAACCTGGAGAGACCCTGGGGTCGGGGTATCTTTAACCAGACCCGTGACTTTGGTTCAGTCTGAAGGCTTAGTGATTGTCCCCCGCCCGAGGGACTCTAACTTGGAGCTGAAAGTTAAAGAACTCAGAGCTGGGACTTTGTTGGGAGCCGGGGGAGAGATGCATAGGCGGGACGCCTATCCTGAGGTTCAGGAACCTGACCTTACCGTTGGCACTTGAGGAGCAGACTTTCCTGGCCTGTTTGGGGGAGGTCCTCTTACTTCTTAGGACAAGAGCCAGAATTACTGCTGTTCAGCTTTGGCTAACAGTCTTCGCGCCGCTGTCACTCGTCGGCGGACTGGCAAACACGCCTATTGTTAAGTCAAGCCTTTTTACTTGTGGAGTCAGCTTTTGCCCTCCTCTTCCTCTTCCCCTCTCAGGCTAACCCAAGTGAGGTGGAGCCGCTATGGTCCTGAATACAAGGATCCCCAGATTGACAAGGAATATTACCGCAAGCCCTTGGCCGAGCTGACTGAGGAGGAGAAGTATGAGCGGGAGCTCAGGAAGACTCAGCTTATCAAAGCTGCGCCGGCGGCGAAAACAAGCTCTGTGTTTGAAGACCCGGTCATCAGGTTAGAAGGAAACAAACTTTTGTTCCACGGACTGGGGCTATACCAGGGAGGGTCTACAGTAAAGATTCCGTGATAGAGCTGTGGGAAGCTAAACATGTTGCTTTTCTCCTTGAAGTAAATTCACCAACATGATGATGAAAGGAGGAAACAAAGTACTGGCCAGATCCCTCATGACACAGGTAAACAGTACCTCTCTCTGTCATCTTTCTTTTCCTCGTAGCTTTGTACTTGGCTCTTGCATTTTAGCATAAGAAAGGAATGGATTCTGTATCTGTCATTAAAATTAACTTCCCTGCACGTCTGTGTGGGAGTAGGGGCTTTAATGAAGTCCTGCAGGAGTCAACAATTACCATTCCCCACCCCCACATCACAAATCTCCACTCTAGTCCAGCAAAGAGGTAGGCACTTAAGAGCTTTGTTTTGGAAGTGCTGAGGGAGGAGCTACACAACTAAAGAAGAATGGGATGGTGGGAGGAATAGGGCAAGGTCCTAGCTCAGCTGGGTAAACCCATTAGGGAGCCTGGGGCAGCCACCTCCACTGTATCACTTTGCAGACTCTGGAAGCTGTGAAAAGGAAGCAGTTTGAAAAGTACCATGCTGCTTCTGCAGAGGAACAGGCAACCATCGAACGCAACCCTTATACCATCTTCCATCAAGCCCTGAAAAACTGTGAGCCCGTGATTGGGCTGGTACCCATCCTCAAGGGTGGCCATTTCTACCAGGTGAGTGGTCAGGATGGGAAGGCAGGGCTGCTCATGTGTAAAACAAGACGGTGGGTTTGGGGCAGAGGGTGCTTGAGGGTGGGAGGGTCCAGAGTTGGGCCATGGTTGATAGCTTTCTAGGGATTGGCGAGTGTCAGGATCTGCTCATCTGAGTCCCATAGTGTAAAAATTATCAGCAGAAGTTGGAAGAGAGCCAAAAAACATCTTTTGAAGGTCCACCCCTCCTGTCCAGCATTGTGTTCTAAACGGTAAGCTTCTCACACTGATGGACTATTTATACCTCATCTCTCTACACCAGTGTCTAGCACAGCACTTGACCCATAACTGATGCTTCATCACTGTTGAACTGAACTAGGTGCCTCTCTCACAGCATTTAATTATGTTTCATTGTCATTAAGTGGATGTTCTTGTGTTTCCTCTTTCAATGTAAACTTTATAAGGATAGAGGCTTTCTCATTAATGTCTCTGCCCCTCTAGAGTCTGGCGTGATACCTGGCACATAGTGGGGGCCTGGCAAATGATCCTTGGACAAGAGGGTCTTGTTTCTGGACACCCATGATCTGAGTTGGCTAGCTCACCCCAGCTGCCTGGGCTTTTCCCAGTGGTGCCGGTATCACCTTGGCTGAGCTCCATTTAGAGATGAAAGAAGCCAGTGCTTATGGAGTGTTTGCTCAATGAATGCCTCTTATGTCTGCTGCACTGGGGTTACCCAGGGGTGAGAGAAGCTGAGAGACGAAAAGACAGGCCTCTCTCCTCAGAAGCCTTGCCAGGCCTGGCCCAGAGGGAACCAAACCTGTGGCTACTTAGAGCTCTAGGAAGAAGGAGGCTGCCATCCTGGCAAGTTTTGAGACGACCCAGCTCATACCCATCTTGCCCAGGTCCCTGTGCCGCTACCTGATCGGCGCCGTCGCTTCCTGGCCATGAAGTGGATGATTACTGAGTGCAGGGAGAATAAGCACCGTAGGATGCTGATGCCGGAGAAGCTGTCGCGGGAGTTGCTGGAGGCTTTTCACAACCAGGGCCCTGTGATTAAGAGGAAACACGACATGCACAAGATGGCCGAGGCCAACCGCGCGCTGGCCCACTACCGCTGGTGGTAGGGGAGGGCGGAGGCCGTGCGGCAAGAAACCTCAGTGTGAGCCGCTACCACGTGGAGAAGTACCTGTGGGTTAAGAGTGTCTTTCCTGTTTAAGGGCAGGCATCATAAGGATGGAGCAGCATGTTTATTGCTTGTTGGTCTTTCTTTGGGGGCTAGAACTCTCTCTCCTTGCCCCATCTCCTTGCATAGAGAAATCCAACTTGGATTTCTCCCAAGAAACTTAGGGCTCATCCAGCCTTCTCTTCCTTCAGCTTGGGGTGGACCTTTGGGTGATACTAAATGAAGCAGTTTTAATATCAGAAAGAGTTTATTAGAAAGTTCTCACCCTGAACTGGTGTTGCATGTGATGTGGTACTGCCATCCATTAAAACCAGCTGGAAGAAATATGCTCATTTCCAAAGCGGTCCTTATAAAAAATGTATAAAAAGCAGTGGTGTGACCTGTGCTCTGCTTCTCCCCTTTGATATCCCTAAGCATCCAACAAATGGCTGTTCATGCCCATTTTACAGATGGGGAAAACTGAGGCACAAAGATAACTTGCACCAATGGTTAGAGAGTTAGGAGTTGCCCTTTTCTGCCTGGCCCAGGTCAAAAGCAATAGGAGAGAAAAGCTGATGTGGCTGCGGTGGCAGGTGTATTTGGTGTTTTCCCCGATCCTGGAATCAGGGAGGGAAGGTACTCAGGGCAGGACCATGTTGGGAGTGGGGAACACCTCGGGTGCTTTTAAAAGTCTTGGAAGGGAAAGTCTTTGGGAAAGGCAAAGACTCCACTGCCAGGTTGGGAGGCGGGTAGAAGAAAGGCCGGTGCTGCTGGTGAGGAAGCCTGATCTGGAGGCCTACTCAGAGACCTCGCTGTAGTAATACTTATGGGCGGCCGGAGTCGTCTTCCAGCCGGCTGCCCGGAATTCGATGATCTCCAGCAGCAGCAGCTGGGCCAGGGAGCTGAGGCCGCTGGGGAGCAGGAAGCCATCCCGGATCAGGACAAAGAGCTCATCCATGCGCTGCCTGTTCATCTTCTCCAGCTGCTCCCCGACCCGGTGCAGCTGCAGCACCAGGCAGTCCACCTGCGGGAGGCAGTGGGAGGTGACCCCCGGGCAGGGCCACCCTATCACACAGAGTGGCCATTTACTGAGCACTTGCTGTGTGCCAGGCACTGGCCTGGCCCCATACATGTGCTTCCCCACTTTTTCCTCACACCCCCCCTCCCCGGTGGGCACAGTCCACATTTTAACATGAAACGAAGCAAATTCAGAGACTTGCCTAAGGTTTCTCATCTGGGCCAGGCTAGACTCAGGCCCTGTATCCAAACTGCTTAACTACACTTTTCTACCCCCTCCCACCTCCCCCAGCACCCTGCCTGACCTCAGTTTGGCTTCTGGGCCATCTGTATCCACAGCTGGCCAACGTGCTTGCCATTCCTATTATAGGTTGGCTTTCCTACTAGGAAGGCAGCCTTAGCCAGGAGGTTTTGGCTGCTCTCTGTTCTGGATAAATTCCAGACCTAGCAACTTGCCCTGTAACTGTAACAGGACTTAAGTTCCCCCACCAGGCTCCCACCCCAGCAAGTGATGCCCTTGAAAGTCTCCATGGACAGTGTGGGCTGGCATTCTGAGCCAAGCCAAATAGAGCCCACCCCCATAACCTTCTGTGCCAGGGCCACCCACCTCCTCCTCCTTGCTCAGACTGTCGGGCTGGGCCAGCCGGAAGAGGCAGTCGTAGACAGGGTTCACCAGGGCCATCATGGGCATGTTGTTCACCTACAGGGGAGGGAAGAGTAGGGGCCGGAGAACTGGCTTAGTGGCGCAGGAGACAGGCCATCTCTGCCACTGCCGCAGAGGATGTGGCTGATGGGGGCCTCACCCTCAGGTAGTCAAAAATGTTGCAGATAAAGGTGACATAGCAGACCCAGCCCTGCAGGGAGCGGGCTCGAAGCTGCTCCCGAGCCTGGTACTCCTGCTGCAGCCGGTTGAGGAGTCCGCGGCGGAAGACACTCTGGCCTGCTTGCTTGCTCTCTGCCTGTGAGCCAGGGAAAGTATGGTGAAGGGCAGTTCCAGTGCCACCGCAACTCCACCCAGGCTTCTGAGGCTGAGAACCCTCCTGTCCTCCTCTCTCGTCTCTGAGGCCAGCCCTTGGCATCTCTGCCTGCTCCTGAAGCATCTTCCTCAAAGCGTCTCCCCTCTTCTCTACCAACCCCACCCAACCTGAATGATGGCGTAGCACATGCGTCCTGCTTCCTTGCTGAACACACAGTCCTGCAGAGAATGGTCCACAATCACATTGGCCACTTTCTCCAAGTCCACAGCACCTGGATCTAGAGTAAAGACAGGTGGAGAGTCTAGAGTTGCGTAATGGTCACATTGCCTCCACCTGCTTCTAAAGGATTTGCGATGTTCACAGAAGAGCACTCCCATTACACACTTACATTTAAAGAGACCAGAAAACAGGGGAAACAACGCACAGGAGCAGCTCTAGCCATGAGCCTCCTGGTGGCCCAATCAAGGAGGGTTATGTGACTGAGAACCAAAGAATGCTCGTTTTTTAGGACGCATCTTTTCCTGGCACTAGGCTGAGGAAGGCACGCTGAATAACAACATCTTTGACAGCCATTTCATGGAAGAAAATGTTCTTATAATACACACATATGAACCCCTGACAAGAGCAGGCCAGGCTGGGCCTCCCCACAGGCTTAGCTTGGCACGCAGTGGGCATTGCTAATTGTTAGCTGAGTCAACTTTGTGTCCTGAGTGCTGCAGGAAGGCATTGGACCAGGACAATTACTGTATCTCCTCTGCTAAGCAGAACACTCCATCCTCTGTCCCAAGCCAGGCAGCAATGCACACTCAAAAGAGTTGGCTGCAGCACTGCAGAAACCAGGTTCCGTGTTAAGGACTTAAGTGGCAGGAACTGTGTTCTCTGTGCCTCACCTTCCTTTCATGGGCACTTAGGCTTTAAAAAAAAAAGCTGAAGGGTGACTATGATTCCCATCCCAAATATTGGCCTAAATGTAGCTTGTTTTCCAGTTCAAGAATTACATTGCTGACTCCTCAGAAAATGAAGGGAGAGGGCTGAGCATCCCTGGGCTAGGGCTCAGTCCTCCAGTACTGACCCTTTGGCCCCTTCTCTGTAGCTCCGGACCCAGGCTCAGGAAGCTCCCAGTGCTCACCTTTGAGTGCTGTCTTCAGCAGCTGCTGGGTCTCTGCATCAAAAGACTGGATTTTATATTCCTCTCTACCAGGCTCACCCATGACCATCCAGCCTCAGCAGCTCTTTATTGAGGTGGGACTAATGATAGCACCTGGGGAGGAGGAGAGGCAAAGGGAGAGATCTCAGGTGTGGAACGTGGGCCCAGGGTTCCTAGGCCTACAGGCCCTGGGTAGGGCTGACCAGCGCTCAGCACCCATGCTCCTGAGCAGTCCATTCAGTGGTTGGCTGAGCGCCCACCAAGCTTGGCTTCTGATGGAGTCTGGGCGCCAGCCAAACACCTGCTGCACAGTTAAAGAACCCCTGGAGCATCTGGGATTACACAAGAGTAGAGATGAAGGGTGAATGTGTCTAACCTCCAGTCCCAACAGGAGGCAATCTATTCTCATCTGATACCAAGGCTGGGGTGTGGACAGGTGGATATTAGACACTTTCCCTGCCTACATAAAGCTGGCCTGTAAGCTGCTGGCCCTGCACGATTGCTGGGGAGTGAGCGGGCTGCAGGCTCCATGCTGTATTCCGTCCCAGCAGGGTTCTAGGCCCCTCTCCCCAACCCTCTCCCTCAGCTTGACTCAAGAGTCCTCAGTCCAGAAAGCCCACCCCCTCAGCCCTCGGGTTGGGGCCGGCCCGCGTGGGTGGGTGCAGGAGCATCTCTGCCGCCCTGACTCCCCTTGTCCTGGCCAGCTTCTCCCCGGGACGGACTGGTTAAGCTGGCTTCCCGAGTGGCAAAAACCCGGCCCTGCTCACTCAGGACTCCCAATTCCTGGGCTCTATCTATTCTGGATCCATCCTCTTAAGGAGTGGAGAGGGATGAGGTGGTCCCCACTGCAGTCCCCTCCCCGGACTCGGTGC